TCTTTTAAAGTAAAAAAAGGAAAGGAAGCCAGTCATGCCAATGTGATTCACTAAGATGGCAGGATAAGAATTGAAAGTTTGGAAGAGTTAGATTATCATATCAGATTTGACTTTTACCAAAAAGAAATTTCAAAGGAAGGTAGTGCAGTAAAACATATTTAGATCAATCCTGTATAAAACTTAGGTTTCATGAACCTCTTGTCCTTCACCCTGCTATTTTAGATTACATTTCCTGTTTGTAGACATCATTTGAGTACAACATACAGATAGGGAGACATCCGGCAAAATTCTGCCAGAAAATATATGCAAATAACCTTCTTCAATAGGTCTTCATGTATGTGCTACAACAATGAAGTTCAACAATGGTAGTCCACCCAAAGTAAAATTTTAGTTATAGATGGGGCCCGGAGGGCTGGGTCAAACTCTGAATGCTGTCATCTTTAGGGATCTGCTGCAGATAATGGTGTTACACGCACTGTACCACATGCTAGATGAACTGGTGCATTGTGTTGACATTTATTCTGAATGGCAACCCAACACACCACCCATTGGGTGTTGCACTGCAATCCACAGTACAGCAATAGTGTGCATTGTAATGTGGTGAAAAAAAAGTAGTGCATGCATTACATTTTTCACTGCATGGCAATGCACAGTGTGGGGCAGTGTGCAATACAGTGTATTGTTCGATAGCATACACTATACACACAGATCCTGAGCCTGGCCCTAAGTGCACCTGTATACTGAGTTTTCTTAAGCAAGCTGTTACTAGTTCTGCCAGAAGCTGAGGCAGAAAAGTTAACTGATGAGCTATAAAGATTTATCACTAAAGAGCTTGTCCTAGTGGTGTGAGCTGGAGAGATGATAATATTTTGGGTAGCCTATCAAGAGTGTTCTTAATTCAATGGGTATTGTTCTTGTATGTTTGAGAAGGCCACTGTAAGAAGCTGGCCTACTAAAATAAAAAAGAAGCAGTTTGGCCCTGGGGAAGCTCCTGTGGATGTCCTCCACGTAGAGGGAGTTGGTGAGTGAATGGCTGAGATGTTAACACAGGAACCTAAGGCTCTCCTGCCTTAGGAATTGCTCTAAATGCCCCACTAGAACATTAATCCCCAAGAAGCCCAAGACTTGTGAGATGTTATAGACCAGTATAGTTTGTGGGAACACAGAAAGCATTTAAAGAGGATTAGAAGTCAGCTTAAATCCTGTATAATATTAGTTTTGAGACTGTGTGTGTTTGTGATATCTGATTTTATTCCTTACCCTCCTTCCTCTAACTGTAGTTCTAGAATTAATTGTGTAATTGTTTAATTTTAAATTTCTACAAAGTGAATGATGCTCATGTTATTTAATAATACCCTAGAGAAAAAAAACAAGCCCTGGGCAAAAATAAGTAAATCAGGGCATCTCAATGTGGCCTATAGTCCATCTGAAGGTCAATCCTTCTTTCATGCATGGTAAATAGTGTTACATATCACTTAGATATTTCAACAGTGAAACCTCTCAGCCATAGATACTGACTCTGTTCCTTTCCTTCTAGGATGTTTTGGTGTTACTGCGCTTATTTGCTTTCCGGCACTTCCTATTGCATTATTTATACTATTTTTAAAAAATTAAGAAGGAAAGTGGGCCCCTTTCATATTGGTCATAGCACATGTGTATACTCAAGAAAACAAGTACAGAGATCTCAACAAGAGTCCCTCAGGGATATAAGAAGCTGTCAGGTTTAGCTATCCAGCATCTACCAAAAACTAAAATTTGGGATAGACTATCCCTTTAATCAGGAATTATTCCACCCTTAGGAATGGGGTATTTGCATACATTTCCCAGGGGAGCATTGATTAATATCGCTCTATCTGTACTTAGAGATCACACTCCTGTGACAAATCACATGCAGGCAAAACCCATCAGCCTTTGGCCACTAAAGAATGGAATGGATTACCCACATATAGGTGTTGTGGTTCAGTAAGGCTGTGTGATTGCATTAATAATCCAGGTGATGTGGCATTCACTTGCAGGCCTTGTCATGTAATAATGGCATTATACAGAAGTATAAACGTATGTCTGGTGATAGTAAATGATACATTTATTTTTTACAATATTTTTTTTAAATAGCCAGTATGCTGAGTAGAAACTACTGTGTTTGTAGCAAGGATACATATATTAGGTACAAAGTGACAGGGTCTCTTGACAGTTCACCTCCACACCCAATGATATTTACCAACATTGTGTTCTCTCAACTCTCCATTCATCTGTCACAGCCCATGAAAATACCCAGCACTTCCAGCTCTGGGGGAGCGTGTCATTTTCCCTAAATACAAGCATGCAGTATTAGGGCATGAGCAGCCACTGAGCAGGACACAACACAGTCATGCAGGGGACACTGTGTAAGTTTTGACATGGCTCTGACACACAAACAGAGTGGTAAGGAAGCATAGCAAAGGTAAGTATCGGGGGGCGGGGGGGTAGCATGTGAGGAGGACTTGTCACTTTACCCTGAATGGACAAAGTAACATATTCACTTTAAATATTAATTTAACCAGCGTGGTTCAGACCTGCAGATTGCGAGTTTCTCCTTTAAACAACAAGGACCTAAGCTTTGAAAGCTGGATGACATTTTTTATGCAACTAGGATAAATGTTTTTTCAATCACCATTTGCATATAAAGGACAAATAGATTTATATAAGCTTCAGTAGAAGCATAATGAATATTAACACCATTACATAATTTTTCATTGCTACTTTTGAACCTAAAGCAGACTTTTTATGCTAAATTGAAAAACTATACATTAATTTGACAACAATAGGTCAAAATGTTAATCTAATCACCAAATGAGTTGTTATTAAATAGGGATTCATGGTCAAATAGCTAAATCCAGCACATACAGTATATTTATATGAATGGTTTTCCCTTACAAACTAGCAATATTTCTTTTCTACCACCCATGTGATTCCCATGCTACATTCATAGTCAGACTATGTGGTAAGAGGGTAAATGGCAGATAAAGCATTCATAGGGGTCTATTCACAAAGCTGCCGAGGGCAGCCGAGTGAATGACCGATCAGAAGTGAAGTGAGCCGAACACTGATCGGCTATTCACTTCAGGCTGGTACGGCTGATTTCAGCCGTACATCGGCTGAAATCAGCCGTACATCGGCTGAAATCAGCCGTACATCGGCTGAAATCAGCCGTACATCGGCTGAAATCAGCCGTACATCGGCTGAAATCAGCCGTACATCGGCTGAAATCAGCCGTACATCGGCTGAAATCAGCCGTACATCGGCTGAAATCAGCCGTACATCGGCTGAAATCAGCCGTACATCGGCTGAAATCAGCCGTACATCGGCTGAAATCAGCCGTACATCGGCTGAAATCAGCCGTACATCGGCTGAAATCAGCCGTACATCGGCTGAAATCAGCCGTACATCGGCTGAAATCAGCCGTACATCGGCTGAAATCAGCCGTACATCGGCTGAAATCAGCCGTACATCGGCTGAAATCAGCCGTACATCGGCTGAAATCAGCCGTACATCGGCTGAAATCAGCCGTACATCGGCTGAAATCAGCCGTACATCGGCTGAAATCAGCCGTACATCGGCTGAAATCAGCCGTACATCGGCTGAAATCAGCCGTACATCGGCTGAAATCAGCCGTACATCGGCTGAAATCAGCCGTACATCGGCTGAAATCAGCCGTACATCGGCTGAAATCAGCCGTACATCGGCTGAAATCAGCCGTACATCGGCTGAAATCAGCCGTACATCGGCTGAAATCAGCCGTACATCGGCTGAAATCAGCCGTACATCGGCTGAAATCAGCCGTACATCGGCTGAAATCAGCCGTACATCGGCTGAAATCAGCCGTACATCGGCTGAAATCAGCCGTACATCGGCTGAAATCAGCCGTACATCGGCTGAAATCAGCCGTACATCGGCTGAAATCAGCCGTACATCGGCTGAAATCAGCCGTACATCGGCTGAAATCAGCCGTACATCGGCTGAAATCAGCCGTACATCGGCTGAAATCAGCCGTACATCGGCTGAAATCAGCCGTACATCGGCTGAAATCAGCCGTACATCGGCTGAAATCAGCCGTACATCGGCTGAAATCAGCCGTACATCGGCTGAAATCAGCCGTACATCGGCTGAAATCAGCCGTACATCGGCTGAAATCAGCCGTACATCGGCTGAAATCAGCCGTACATCGGCTGAAATCAGCCGTACATCGGCTGAAATCAGCCGTACATCGGCTGAAATCAGCCGTACATCGGCTGAAATCAGCCGTACATCGGCTGAAATCAGCCGTACCAGCCTGAAGTGAATAGCCGATCAGTGTTCGGCTCACTTCACTTCTGATCGGTCATTCACTCGGCTGCCCTCGGCAGCTTTGTGAATAGACCCCAATGTTTCCCAGTATATTTAAAATATTTGGCCAAACATTACATTCTGTTTCTTTATTTAATATACATTTTTAATCATTTAGGATGCCCTTATAGAGATGTGACAAACCAAGAGCTTTTACCTCAGCTGATATGACCTTGATATTTTTGGCCCACTCACATTGCCCTGACATGCAGCATAGTTTATAAGGAGTTCAAGCTGTTGAAATGTGCTGACAGCCACTGATGAGCATTAAGGATTCCAAAAAGGTTGCAAAAAATACAAACAATTTTATATCCCAAAAAATATCCAAAAATTCCTTCACTAGGGGACTGTCGTGCACCATTTGCCTCTAAGACCATAAAGTCATGAGAAAGTACATTTATACCATATCAACAGCAACATGCTCCTGGAAATTGTTCATACATTACGTGTTCATTTCACTATGTTCAAATCATTTTTTAAAAAGCACAAAACATCACAAACTGTGTTATTAATGCTACATTAACACATTAGCACACTGTAAATGTAACTGTCATAGCTAATTACCTCAAGTCATCTTAAGTTGGTTTCAGACATTTCTATCAATCTGTTACACAAGGCATACAGTAGGACAGACATACCTTTGATGCTGGAAGCGGATGTGGCTGAACAGGTTGTTATGGAAACAGAGGTTGTGACTGTTGCAGTGGTGGAAAGGGGGATGATTGTGGTTGGAATTAAAGTGGTAGGGGCATCTGGTCAATGGGAAAACATAAAAAGAGACATGAAACATAAAGACAAAATCATATCATACAAAAAAAATAAAACAAAAAAAAGCATAACAATGGTTAACTTGGGTAATGTAGACATAATGTTAACAAAGGCATGCTTAAAGCAAAGTGACTCAGACACTTGGTATTTTTTTTTATATTAAATCACTCTCGCTTTTTTTATACTTAACATCAGAGAAGTATAATTACTAAAAAATGTAAAAAAAATAAATAAATCCTTGGTATTGATTTAAATTACTAGTTATTGCATAAAATGCGAGCTTCCTCCATGGAGAGTGGATTTAATTGACAAGAACCAAGCTTTCATCATGCCATTTACAATGGATTGTACAGTGGAGATCAGGTGTGGATAAAACAACATGCTGGGGAGACGTGGGAGACAAACAACAAAATAATAACATGCTAAGAAGATGGAAATTATATGTTAAAATGAATATTTCACCTGCAGTGCCTTCCTAAGGTATATATCAGTGAAAACTAAGAAGCAAGTCTTTCTTTTTTGTTGAGTACAGCCATTTACCGGATGTAACAAGCCAACAGAGAGCAAAAATCAAACTTACTGATGCCATAGGTGGAAAGTTTATGTATTACTTACAAATCTATCAAGTCATACAATTCATTAGGTGACTAACATTTAACCATGTAACAAAGTGTATTTCAGGGCAAAATAAAAGAAGCATATACATAACATCTCTGCAATGCTTGCATATTTCCCTGCATTTTATCCCTTTACAACAGTGGAAGTACCGAAAAACGCCTGCTAATTCTAGCAGAAATGCATGCAGCTCCTAAATTCATGTTGTAGGTTACCATCACTGTACCTTTTCTGGACTGAAAGTGCAAGAAATGGTGTCAGACCTGCCCAGTTGTCTTTTGCTACACTACATAACACCCCATAATTTCACCAACATAGTGAGGGTGTTTCGTAGTTTAAAATGAAAACTTGTATAGGTGAGTAGATGCATTGAGATAGACAGGAAGTGTGCATAGGATACAGTACATCTCTGACAGGACCTTTTTTGTTTTGCACTTATCAAACAGATATTTATTTATTATAGGAATTAAATATAGTGCCAACAATTTTCACAGCACACATCAGTCCCTGCCCTCAAGGATCTTACAATCTAAGGTCCCTTTCTCACATGTGTCAGGGCCAATTTACCTACCCGCATGTCTTGGGAGTGTGGGAGGAAACCCACACAAGCACAGGGAGAACATGCAAACGCCTTGCACATAGTGACCTGGCCGGGATTCAAACCAGGGACCCCCAATGCTGCAAGGGAGAAGCGCTAACCACTGCGCCACTGTGCTACCCATATAGCACAATGCTCTTAATAGTATATTTAACAGACCAACAGGGAGAAAATAAGAGAAATTTAGCATTAGATTTTACATAAACTTTGCCAAAACAAATGCTATTTTTTAAATTCAATTATGAACAACAATACAGCATAACAGTAATAGTAATGATGATAACTATATTAATGTGATATGGCTTCCAGAAGGAAAAATATGTTAAAGTTAGTACAGGGTAAAGTATTTTATTAGATTTGCCAGGGCACCAAAAGTGAACAGTTTAATAGGATGAAGCTGACTTCTCAAAGACTTTGCTCTGACATATCTCTTTGCTTTTAGAATAGGCACTTTCTGTATAACCTGGAGTGTTTGGATCCTTTCATGGCAGCAAGGGGTTATAAGTGCTCAGAGGGTGGGTAAAGTGAATTCCTCCTCTATTTTTGACACAGTGGAACTTACATTGCATGTAAGCATTATATAATTTCAATACGCATATCAATACTGCTGTATAGTAAAAGAACAAAAGAAGGGTAGATACATATTTATGAAACGCCATTAACAAATGTACTGCTTGTGCGTGCACCAGGCACATGCACAATGCATGTGATTGCACTGTCAAAATTCACAGAGCCAATCAGAGTGGCTCTGTTTCTTGTGATCAATGCGATGGCCAAACACAAAAATCACAAATGTAAAGCCCTACCTTTGTCTCACAATGGAGGAAAGGGAAGAAGGAGAATCTAATGAATAAAGTAGCAGATTATGGTGTGGGGTTTTCATTATTTTGATTGGGATAACTTCTGCAGTGACCTGTATATTAATGCCTTCAGCACTGAAAACGGAAAAATTTCCTGGCCATAAGAGGTATATACAGGCTAGTACTCATGTAGTTAGATGGAATTTATATTGGTTGTGTACATAATTTAACAATGTATTTGTTGTTTTGTTGTATGGCCCTTTACACAGTGTATTCTTACCTATTGTTTCAAAAAGTATTTTTACATAGCTAGTAGTCCATGGTGACATGCGTAAACAAATGATTGAGCAATGAGCCATCCCCCTCAGTGACCTCCCTCCATATAGCTCAGGTCTGAGTTTTTATTAAAGAGTGTATGATATTAATCAAATTGTGCCATGCTTTGGAAAACCCGTAGTGCTCTCAAAATCCTTTGTCATGTACTAAATGTTTGTAAAAACATTTGTTAAAAAAATAAAACTTACCCATAACCAATAAAGTTGCCCTGTATGTAACAGCATATGATATTTGTTGGGGCAGATGGAGGTCATATTTGTGTCAGGTAAGCACAGTAGTAAAAATGACCCAAACTTACAATGGATAACACACCTTAGAACCAAACCATTAGAACTACACATATACAGTATTAATTAATATTATGCACTTTACAGTGGGCAACCAGACTCTTGAGTATGGTGAACCTTAAACAATAGCTAACCAATCAGTGATCATGTCAATATAACATGTTTGCAGACAGATGAAACATGCATGCTCACATACATAGATACAGAAGGAGATTAGCAAGGATGTGAAAGAAAAGCCCAAGGCAAGGAGGACACCTGTACTAAACAGTGTAATATAAGTCTGTACTACAAATGACTGACCAACAAAGGAATGGTCATCAGATAATAAACCAGCAGATTAGGTAATGGGAAAGTTACTTTTGTTTGTGCACAGGGGAGTTATTTGGATTGGGAAAGACCCTCGAGAAATGGGGTGGTCATGAAATTATACCTAACAGTTGAAGTGGCTTAAAGCATAATATAGATTACAATACCACTAATGATAAAGTTGTAGTAATTAAGATAATGTCCAACTAAGGCTGAGCCATTTTGGAGGCTGTGGTTTCATCTAATTGAAACTCTTAGAATATGCATTAACTGCACCCCTAGAGATAGGGATATTGCTGTGCACTACATAGGCTGGGGTAGAATAGGAATATTTTCAAGGGTGAAATATGGACACTTGGTTGGGTTTTGTCATATTTATAAATCCAAAATTCAGAAAGTGGATAACTGTTATGCAGTCATGCTCAGTAGAGTATTTAGTTACAATGTTCTTCAGCTGGAATACCCAATCTTTAAAAACAAAAAAACACAAGCAAATATATGAAACAAACTATGGGGTCTAGCTTCAGCCCCAGGACCCCTTCGGTTCAGTAGAACCGAAGGGGTGCTGTACGGGCTATTCACTATAGCCCGTACAGCTCCCGAACATGGCCGAGAGGCTCAGTCGAGCCGAACGCATATGCCTCGGCTTGGCTGAGCCACGCTGAAAGCGGAAGCTGGCCGAGCGGCCGGCCATTGGCTGGCCGATAGCCTGCTTCTGACAGCTGGGTGGAGCCAGCTGTGATCTGTGTCGGAGCTGTGTCAGAATAGAAAAAAAAAGATTTGCCCATTGGAATGCATTGCTAGATTCCTATAGGCTATTTCAATTTGCAATAGCCAATAGTAAACTAGCATTGTACCCGCCCTCTGCTGCAGTTCTCCATCAGGTCCATCAGCAGAGGGCAGGTACAATGCTACTTTACTATTGGCTATTGCAAATTGAAATAGCGAATAGGAATCTAGCAATGCATTCCAATGGGCAAAAACATTGTTTTTTTCTATTCTGACACGGCTCTGTGTCAGAATAAAGAAAAAAAAAGAAAAATTAGTGTTGCTCTCCTGGGCGGTCGGGAGCGGGAGGCTCCCAGAGCGCCCAGGAGATTTTTTTTCTTTTTTTTTATGGCAGCAGAACCGCCGACCATAGAAAACTGTTGGGCGGAGCTAGCTGTCACTGCTAGCTCTGCACAATCGTTTTCTATTTACTTTTTTTTACTTTTTAAATATTTTTCTGTTCTGCTTGGTCCCTCTGAGGGACCGAGCAGAACAGCCGAGCCGAATGCCTCTCAGCGGCATTCGGCTATTCACTCACTGCTGTTCGGCATCTAGAAGAATAGGCCGAACAGCAGTCAGTAGCCTGCCGGAGGTTCGGCTCAGCCGATCCAGATGTTGGATCGGCTGAGTCAAACTCCTTCTGCACTTCGGGTCAGCCAAACATGCTGAGCATGTTCGGGCGACCCGAAGCCATGCAAAGCAAGCCGATGTACGGCTGATTTCAGCTGATATATGGCTGAAATCAGCCGTACCAGCCTGAAGTGAATAGCCGAACAGTGTTCACTTCAGGTCGGTCATTCACTCGGCTGCCTACGGCAGCTTAGTGAATAGACCCTATAAGACCCTATATGTCTTAATCTGCATGACTGTATGGAAAAAATGTTTATCTGGGCAATACACTGAAATATATTTCCGAATGTGTATGTGTTATGCGGTTTCCAAATCCACCTTGGAACTCGAGCCATTATAAAAACAATATATAAATGAAGTGCACTTATCCTTAATCATGTTTTTGGCCATCATGTTTTTGTGTCCTTGCTAATCTGTTATTTCTGCAGTGTGACTACTCCGACTCTTACTGACCACTCCAAAATCAGAGCCTTATGATCAGGCATCTCTTTTGTGGGATAATAATAATTTAAAATAGTGACAGGCTCATAAATCTAACATTAATGAAGGTAATGTATGACGGCATCCTTAATGCCGGATGACAGCTCTTTTCACTAAAAGCATTTAGCTTAAATTGTTGCTCTAGATTTTATTAGTATTTACAA